ATTTAGGAAGCTCACCGAAACTACTTTTTGTGGAATCACAAGAAATCGACATAAGTGTCATAAAGTGACATAAAATACGTAAAGAACTGTAACATTCGGACTGAAAAACTTTCTAATTTCAATGTTTATTGTATAAATAAGAAAAGAAACGATGACAACCGGACAAAAGAACTGATTAACGTTTTGAGAAACAAATTTCTAGTTACGCTGAAAGCAAATTACTTAACTTGTGCGTAGATTATGCAGACATATTTGCACTTCCCGGAGGACAAAATTATGTTAAATACCTTTTACGAACAAAAACTACGTTTGACAGACAATAACCCAGTTTACATTAAAAATTACCGATTACCATATTCCCAGCCTAAAGAAATAAATCGCCAAGTTAACAAGTTATTAAAAAATGAATAAATCGAAGAAACTTATTCAAATTATAATAGTCATTTAATTGTTGTTCCAAAAAAAGATACTAATGGCAAAATAGCGTACTGTATGTGCGTAGACTTCCGTGCTGTTAACAAGAAATTGATTGCCGATTGCGCGAGTAGACGACATTCTAGATAACCTTGGCCGAGGGAAATATTTTTCAACCTTAGACCTTTTTTCAGGGTTTCATCAAATCCCTTTACATATTGATTCACGTGACGTAACCTCTTGGAGTACAGACCGAGGAGCTTTTAGATGGAAAGTATTACGGTTTGGGTTAAATGTAGCACCAATTTCATTTTCGCTTTTTCCGGTATTCCGCCCAATGTGGCATTTCTTTACGTTGACGATATAATCGTTATTGGGTGTAGTGAAGGTCATCACATTAAAAATTTAGCAAAAGTTTTTGATACTTGTCGAAACTTCAACCTAAAACTCAACCCCTATAAATGCAATTTTTTTCGGCCGGAAGTTACATTCCTAGGCCATAAATGTTCAGCCAAAGGTCTGTTGTCAGACTACACCAAAATAAACGCTGTTCAAAAATATATAAAACCGACTGATAAAGATGCGGTTCGACGTTTCGTCGCGTTTGCTAATTATTACAGGCGGTTTATACCAAATTTTGAAATAAATTAGGCAGGAAAAAAGTTGAGTTTACTTGGGACAGTGCGTTCGACAAAGCTTTTGAATCGTTAAAATCAGCGTTAATTTCCCCAAAATTGCTACAATACCCAGACTTCACACAACAATTTATTATTACTGTCGATGCCTCGAAAGTTGGGTGCAGTGCTATATTAAGCCAAAACCATGACAGAAATGATTTGTCAATATGTTTCGCTTCAAAATCTTTCAGTAATGCAAAACAGAATAAACCGATAGTCGAACTTGAACTTTTAGCTATATATTTTACGATCAAGCAGTTTCGACCGTATGTTTACGGCACTCACTTTCGGTGAAATCTGACCATCGACCCTTAATTTATCTCTTTAATCAAAGCTTGCTAGAATACGCTTAGAACTGTCAGAATACGACTTTAGAATTGAATATATTTTAAAGGGAAAATCGATTGTAGGAGCGGACGCATTGTCACGGATTACAATGAACGAACTAAAAGACTCTACTAAACAAGTACTAGCGGTAAAAACACGATCAATGACGAATAAACCACAATTAAAATACGATAGGCAGGAGTTTGTTAAGTGTCGAGACCTAAAACTGTTCAGCTACAGAACTACATTCATCAGCCGATTTTATGTCTTTATTTTAATGATTCATTTATTGAGAGAGGACAGTATCGATTTCTTAATGCTGAAAAGCGGATCTGATATATCAAACGTGCTGGAATGAGAGTTAAAATCCTGGCATAAGCAACGGAGTGGGTCGTGCAATTCAAAATTAGTTTTACAAGCTTTCAGAAATAGGGGACGAAAGTGTCTCGATACCCGGGAGGGAACATTAAGGCTAACTTCGCCCAGAAGAAGCGGACTTGAAATTGAGCCTGTCAGTAATGTAACTATAAATATTGTACCAAGCATTTGCCTGCTGCTGGAAAGTGTAGGAAGATTAATAAGTTTTAATCGGCTCGTATAAGGTGGAAGGTTATATTGAGAATCCCAACGGAAATTTCTTAAATCAAAAAGTAGGAATTGTTTTTGAATTGATTCTATCTTGCCTGAGTAAATTTGATACCTTGGATTCCAAACCACCGAACCGTATTCTGGAAGTGGCCTAACTAATGTTGTAAAAAGGGTTTTAGTTATATAAGGGTCACAAAATTCTTTTTACCATCGTTTCACAAATGCAAGTACACCTTTAGCCTTGTTGACTGTCACATTAATATGAAGATTAAAATTAAGCTTAGGATCCATTATGATACCAAGCTCCACAAAATTGTATACCTTTTCCAGATTATGGTTACCTATTGTATAAGAAGCGGGATGAACTGCTCTTCGCGAGAAGCACATTACTTTACATTTTTACATTTCTTATGATTTAGAGGCATACGATTTACTTGACACCAGTAAGCCATGCTGTTTAAGTCTGATTGTAGCAAAGACCTTTCTTTAATTGAAACGTACGATTTATAAAGCTTTACATCATCTGCATACATTAAAATTTTGGAAAATTGTATATCTGTAGAAATATCGTTTATAAAAAGCAAGAACAGAACCGGGCCTAGGTGGCTACCTTGAGGGACTCCTGAAGTAACATCAATGACGTCAGAGATAGTATTTTTAAACAATACCCTTTGTGATCTATCATAGAGGTATGAAGAGATCCAACGTAGAAAATTAGGTGGAAGACCAAGAAGATCAAGTTTGTAGATGAGCAACGAGTGGCACACTTTGTCAAATGCTTTACTGAAGTCAGTATATATAACATCAACAGTTTTGCTTTCACTAAATGCTTTTGAGATATAGGATGTTAATTCAAGTAAATTTGTAGAAGTTGATTTGCCCTTGCAAAATCCATGTTGACTATATGAAATGCTAGAAGAGATAGAATGCGTCAACTGATTTGTTATAATTGCTTCAAATAATTTAGGAATTGCAGAAAGCTTAGCTATTCCCCGGTAGTTCTCCACTGAAGATCTGCTACCGCTTTTATGTAACGGGGTTATGAAAGATTCCTTACATATAGTTTGAAAAACGCTCTCTTTAAGAGACAAATTAAATATCGCTGTTAACGGCTCATTGAGATTTATAAGAATACAAGTAGGGATCTGATCAGGACCATAACTGAAGGACTGCTTTAAGGATTTCAGATAAACTACTACATCATCGGGAGATATTACTGGGATATTTATTGAGTTCATTGGACATAGTTTAAAAGGATAGTCAATGTTAGCATGTGAGTTAA